GAGAGAGAGAGAGAGCACCCTCAATATCTCATTTAATAGGAAGATAAATAAGAAAGCAAAGGAAAAGGAAGATTCCCAAAGAGAGGGAGGGTTATGTATGATATAATTTATGTGCAATTAAAAGCACCACAAAGATATGGGAAAATGACATGTACCTTCAGGTACTAAGCCACATATTTCTAGTATAATTTTGCAGCATGAAAACAATTTGATTGGAATACTTGAAAGTCCGATTTCAGGATATGTAAGTCATTAGGTATTGGATGTTGAGATTCAGTGTTGCTTTGACATTTTGTTGACTTGGATTTTGTTCATGTGAGCAAAACCATTTTCCTTGTATTGTGTTATGGCTGATTTTTGGGTTTTCTAAGTCATTAGGTATTGGATGTTGAGATTCAGTGTTGCTTTGACATTTTGTTGACTTGGATTTTGTTCATGTGAGCAAAACCATTTTCCTTGTATTGTGTTATGGCTGATTTTTGGGTTTTCTGTGTTTGGGGATGTTGAAATGCTTATTAGGTTTGTAAACCTGCCCCTAACTGATTTAAATATGGTTATCACTTACCAGTAAAAGGAGTAGGGAGAGATCTGTTTTTCTACTTTTTAGAGAAAGATGTGTTTTTCCTCCCTTTCTACTTTTTGGAAGTAGGGGTGGGGGGCCCCTACGAGAGGCTTTGATGCCCTGAATAATGTCATTGGCATATATTTTGGAGAGAGATTTTTTAGAAAGTGTCCAATCGCAAAAAAGAAGGAAAAAGAAGGAAGACAAAGGATCTCCTTGTCGAAGACCATACAAGCTGAAGGAAAGGGAGAAAACACACCCATTGATCCATAACCTCCATCTACTACCAAACCTCATGAGATCTTAGACTTCTAGAATATCCTAATCAGCATGGTGATTTGATTTCTTCCCTTCTAATTCAAGAATAAAACTGAGAGTCTAAGAGATGTGCTTGAATGGAATCGTGGATACATTTGTGGGCTAGTTGCCTAGGGAACAAGCAAGAGTCCCATTCATATCAAAATAGGTTGTGCTTGATTGGAATCATGCTTACATTTGTGGGCTACTTGCCGGGGGAGCAAGCAGGAGTCCCATTTCTATCAAAATGGGAATTGGAAGTATAAGGAAAGGTATGATCCATGCATATCGATATGCACATTCCATGAAAAATAAGCTTGTTTTTTTTATCAAAGTGGGCTATTTGAACTTTTTCATTATGTTATCAAGTTTTCCATATGAGCATGCTTGACATAACCTTGTTGAGTAGCAGTGCTGCTGATTTTGAAATTTTGGTTCATGAAATAATGTATCAACTTTTACGGTGAAGATGGAGGATTGGAGTCAGTTTTAGTCTCCTTGCTTTCTTTGTGAAATGAAATAAACTGCAGTTAACATTTCGTATTTAAACTGAATGGATAAATTGAATGCTTCGATATTATAATACATTGACCATGTTATTGCTGGACCAAACCTGTGAAGTTATGAACATTTTTGCCATGGGATATGTACGATTATGTGCATACTTGCTAGTAGACATCAGTATTGTGTTAGAAGGCTTGTCATCTTAAATATGGGAGTTTAAAATGAAAATGACAAGTCTTTTGGAAGAAGATGAAACACAAAACTAGGAAATGTGTGAAATCTTTTCTACGAAATGCATATTTACCTTAGGATATATTCCCTTCTTATAATTCCTCTCTGGCATGCAATGAGACATGGAGCATCAACATATGAACTTATGCAAATATAGGGAACTTATGCAAATATAGGGAACTTGTTCTTTGTTGAGATGAAGATGGTAACTTTATTTTTCCTTATTGCTTATCCAAATCAGTCCCTATTCTCATTCAAAATAAGGCTGATTTTGAAATTTAAGGGCGGTATCTATCACCTTTAGAAGAGTGTTTGTTAAGTTTCTAGGACTGGCAACATCTCTGTGAATTTTCAGGGGTTGTAGCTTGTAAAATTGACAAGCCTCTGATATGGTACAAAGTATTGGAACGCTTTAATTTGAACAAAAAACAACAATACAACTCGACACTTCATTACAAAACTCTTGCTTATACAAAGAAAATACACAATTACATTTTTTAACACAATGATACAAACATCTTAGACTCTACATAGCACTAAAAATCAACTCTAAAACAGTCCCCTTATTGGGCAAGGGGAAATATCCCCTAGTTTTGGTTTTCATATCTCAATAGACCTAAATATTCAAACTATATCTTCTAACCCCCTAACTAACTTTACACACTTTTAACTATTTTTTTAGCCCTAACAAATATAAAAAAGACGTGCTCATTTTAAACCCTTAGGAGTGAGAGATATAGGGGAGAGAGTGTGGGAAAATAGATAGAGAGATAAATTTAGGGGAAAATCACGTGAAGCTAGAGAAATGATGGTGTTTAGAAAAGATATGTCTTTTTTATATTTGTTCGGAGCAAAAAATAGGTTTAAAGGGGATAAAGTTAGCTTAGGGGGTTAAAAGATACAAAACTTATAATTTTTATGATCTAAGATATGTTTTAAAACCTTGGATTTATTGAGATATTACTTAAAAATAAGGGGTATGGAGATATTTTTCCTATTAGGCAAATTACCTGCCACTCACACCAACTCAAAATTGAAATACTTAGTTACATACAGTAGATATACACCATCACATAATCAAATTACATGAACCAAACTGCCTCAACAGTTGTAACAAAGAATAATAACAATAAAACAGAGGTATTAGAGTGCCAACAATATT